AAGTCTCGGCGTGGGTGCGTGCGGCGAAGCGCGCTGAGCCCCACAGGCGTCGTGTCCTGCCGGACCTGCCTCGGGAAGAGCAGGGAGTCCTTGCTAAGTTCACTCCTTCCGACTTCATTGCTTCACCTGCCCGTCACTGCAAATCACTAGCCGAAAAATCAGTCAACGTGGTTATCCAAGATTTCCTGTGGCGTTCCTGTGCGCTCTTGGATTGGAGATTAGCTGCTAGCGGTAAACTTGAAGCAAGAATAGCTCTATAAAAATCGTGAAGGGCATGAAAATCTTGGTTGTTCCTAATAAAAGTCCTTGGGGAAAACTTTGCAGATTGGCAAAAATCACTCTTGCACAACTGTGCAGCATGATTTATTCCACGTAAAGTCCTTGTACGTTATTTGATTAGGAGAATGCCTCTACCTACATTTAACTTGCTAGTAAAAATTGCACTCAGACATCAGATGTACCAATTCAGGAGTTTCTTTTTCTTGTTTCAGGCAACAGCAACACCCCCCACCCCCCCAAATAATGTGCTTGCAGGAAGGGCAATTAGCAGCAACTGTGCACTTACACAATTTTAGAGTGTTACAGACCAAATAGCCTGCACGCACATTTTAAACTCCCTTTATTTTTCAAAATATTTGCTTAAACAAATTGATGGTAGCATCAACACAGTTGACAAATTCAATACTTTCAACGGGGAGCTCCAATCAATATCGAATAGGAAACATTGCACTTCACAGAATTCTAAACTAAACAATGATGGAATAACACCTGCAAATGGATCGACTCCATTGTCAACCCCATTCCTCTCCTATAGGTCGTGTTTTACTTTGGGAGTAAATCACCCAAAACCAGGCGAGTCGGTGGACAGTTTGGCAGCACGTTTGCAACGCTTGACTTTTCCCACTCAGATTCACCACGTGCCCCTTTCCCTTTAAAGAGGCTGAAATCGCTCACTTTTTAAAGTCTCTTTTCAGCGCTTCTGTAAACACATGAAATGAGAGCTGAAGGCATCTGCTTATTTGTAGAATGTCAACAAGGACAACTTATTTCCACTAGTACTAGGCAAATATGGTCAGGAGACCACTATGTGTATGCCGTGTCTGTTAAGAAGTAATTTAGCTTGTCCTCCTCACTGGAATTACCAACTCAGTGCAGATTTTGTGATGTAAATATCTGTCTGTCCAAGAAACTAGACAGTTCATACTCCCCTCGCCCCATGTTGGCACTGTGCTCTTTTAAGCATAGAGCTAGATGACTTTAAACTGGCACTAAACAGGAAATGCGACTAAACTAATGTCAGTTAATATTAACAGACATTTTCTTTGAGGGTTTGTCCCCCTCAAAGTCTGGGGGGAGTATGGAAGGCCTCACTACGAGAGGAGAAAGGTTTTCTTCTGACGTTTTTATTCCTCTGTATTGTTTATTGAAACCCAACAACTTTATCCAAGAACAAAGCAAACTTTTCTGGCTGTCCAGGAGGAAAAGGTTTCAAAGTTGACAAGTCCATCGACTCCAGTGTCTCCACAAGAGTGCTGTAAAAACAGACCAAATCCAAAAATTAAAAAAAAAATCTATCCCAAAAGGGAATTTCTTTTCCATACAATTTTCTTTCTATTCATACATACATGATCCTGTAGCAAAGAAACAAAAATAAGGACATGTATTGAAAGGGAGACCCCACAAACCAGCGGGCCCTAACCTTCAGTGGCTCATAGGCAGCATTGCTAAGAACACACTTCAATCCACACCACAGCTTTCACAGACAACCTCAGCTCGTAACTTTTGAACCTTCGGTGGTTGCAATGTTGGGAGCCTGAACAAGATCTGAGGATGTTCACCATAAACTGTACCAGGAAATTCATCCTACTTGAACACATGGCATAGATCTCCACTTAACACATAGCCAGAAAGAACAGCTAATTCAATCTGTTCGCTTGCTATTATCAGACTGCAAATAAGGCTCAAATGCTAGGCACTGTTCAACAAAAAGAAATAAAAATTCTTTCTGTCTCTGAAGCTGTTGGAAGCACTGAGATAATAAAATTAACAACCTTGCCCAATATGAATGAATGACAGGCCTAGTCTTTTCAGAAGGCTCTCCTGAAACTTACAGAATGCTGTTTGCAGGGCAAAGGAACAAGATGCAGACTAAATAATGGGACTTGCATTTCCTCTGCCCTCTATTTAGAGGTCATCTGTTTATAGTGTGAAATCAATCATTAATAATCATGAATAAAGAGAAAACAGTAACATATAGTCAAAACAAGAGAGCATATGAAACTAACAGGAGCCAGGATGAACACAAACAAACAAAAGGAGCTGAGTTTTTTGGTGGTGGTGGTTTGCATTTTTTTGAGGGGGGGGGTGTTTGGTTTTGTTGTTTGTTTGTTTGTTTTTTTTCCCTGAACTGACAGGTGGTAGATCTGTGAAACTCCTTGTCAGAGGATGTGGTGAATTCAGGAAGTTTGGTTAACAGGGCAGCCTCAACAAGTACTTCAAAAACAGATACTGAAAGTTACTAACTAGACAGCATCTGATTCAGGAATTCCCCTGAATCAAAGTCCTTAAGAGCATTAGAGGGAAAGTAATACAAGAAGTACCATATGTTCTTGCCTTTGGCTGGGCATCTGCATATGGCCATTGCAAATAGGATACTGAGCTATGTGGACTCCTGATCCGTATCAGTAAGGCCATTCCTATGTTTTATTCTAAATACTCCAGATACTTTCCATTTTATTATGTCAGTGCATCTACACAGTCAACTTTCGTGCCCTTTACAAGGAAAATCTACATAGGACTCCATTTCATCATTTTGCTAAGTCTGCAGGGAGCAATTTATTCCTTATGGCTCATGTTTACAAAATGATGGTCTGGGTTGTATTATTTCTAGACTTCAACTAGTGAGAAAGAGCAGAGAAAGAGAGAAGCTGCTGGGTGTGTCTAGGGTGTTCCAAATTCAACCCCTTCTATTTGGTTTAAATTGCTCTTCTTTCAATCTGAATACATGTGCCCTCAAAAAAAAAAAATAATTAAAAAGAGTCATGGTCAAAAGGCTTGGCAAGTTTGGAAAATTAGCACCTAATGTTAATCTGCCTACTATGGAAAATCTACCTGGCAAACAAATGGTCATTACGGAGAGGGGTGTGAATTTCCTTGTTACATTCTCAGTACTGTAGCAAGACAGAGTGATGGTGCTGAACATTGGTTCTTCACTCAGGAGAGCCACAGCAGCTCCATACCTGCAGTTACAGCAGAGGACATGCTCATCTCTGTGGAGCTGTTTTGCCAGTTCAAGCTGATGGTTGTCCATCAGCTTTTCGTTTATTACTACTATTAGTGGTTTTCCTTTTTCTAGAGCCTCCAGACAGCTACCTGCACCTACAGGAGAAACAGAAAACACGGTAAGTTGGTGCCCTGACAGATGAAATATCATCCTGCTTGCTCCTGAAACACAGGAGACTCCTAAAGGCAAACATTTAACCACTCAGCTCTAGCTGTGGACCTGAGTACTCACTGCCAGTCCACCCCTGAGCCGTAAAGAAACAGACTTCATCCAACTGACTTCCACTCCTGCCCCCAGGAGAAGAGGCTGCGCAAACAAACGGGGTTCTACCTGCGTGGCTGATGACCAGGTCCGCCCTCCCCAGGTCCTCAGCCAGCGAGTCCTTGAAGCGGAAGGTTTCCACCGCCAAGGCCGGGCTGCCCTGCAGCGCCGGCTTCAGCGCTCCCCGCCCGACCTGCAG